CTCCAGCCCCGCTTCCTGGCTGCCACGACCTGAGCAGCTTTCCTCTGCCCAGGCCCTTCTGCCATGCTATTTTCATGTTTGTGCCTGCTGAACATGGACCGAAACTTCTCAAACAGTGAGCCAAAAGAAACCTCTTCTCCTTCAAGTTGTAGGTGTCAGGTATTTGGTCCCAGTGACAGGAAAGTGACTGAGACAGAGAGAAGGGGAGGGAACAGGGGAAGGGAAGGTGAGGGAGAAAGAGACAGACAGAATGACTGACAAACTCTTGCCCTTCTTTATGACTCTCCTGACCCACAGAGTCATTCCTTCCTGGCCAATTTTTGTTCTGTTTTTGGCTTATGAGAAGTTATTTTTGAAGACAGTTTCTAATCACAAAATTAAATGTTAAATTCATGTTCTCATGAAGCCAAATCATCAACCTCAGGCTTCTCAGGATCCCAGAGCAGCAAAGGAGAAAGTGCGTGGGCTGGTGTGGTTGGAGGCCAGGTCTTGCTGTTCCCTGGCTGGCTACTATGGGCAGCTGTTCTTAGCTCTTGGACACTAGTTTTCTTCATCTGGAGTGTTAATTCCAAAGTATGCAGTGGAACTGATATGATAATTAAATAAAACAAGACCACTAGACTTTTTCTATCAAAACAATGTTCCTTCTTAAAAATACTAATTGGTAGTGATTTTACTTCAAAAACAAAGGCAATATGACATTTTGGAAAACTCTTAGAGAATGAGTTTAATGTTCATATAATGAGAGCAATTTGTTGCCTTTTGCACTAATTCTAATCCAACAGCCTGGGTAACCTGTTCCAAAAAGTTGGGAGTCACTCACTCCTCTCAGACTGGACATGGGGCCTTCTATAGGCTTTGTCCTGGTGGCCTCAGTGTCACCCTGTACACAACATGAATGCTCCTTGTTCTTCCCTTCATCTCCCTTCCTTTTCTTTCTGAGAGACTAGCATGAAAAGCAACTCAATTCTGAATTTCTCCTTAAAAGCAATTTTTCCCTACTGGTCAACTTTTGTGGGTCCACCAGCCATTTTCTGAGGCCCCATATTTATGGAACCAAATTTGCACTTATTGCACGTTTGCCTTTTTTTCTTGGATCTACTGAGTCTTTTTAGGCTTTAAAAATGAGCTATTTTTCTGAGTTATTACAATGCAAAATCCCGTTCCAACAGTAAATCTGAATCACTCCAAGCCCTGTTATTCTATGGAAATTCAGTAAGTCACCAACTGAGGGGGTGTTCTGGAAGTCAACCCTCCCTTCTTCCTTTATTTGGTCCTCAAAATCCAGCATGGCCCAGAGATCACAGACCAGCCTCCTCCTTTCCCTAAAAACCAGGATTAGTGCTAGGGGACTAATTAAAGGAGGGATTCTTCTGCTTAGCCAAAGGGCAGCCTGGCCCCCGCCCATTTCCAGGACAACTTGGCAAGCTGTAAATCCCCAGGGTGGTGTCTGGACTCCCCTTCAATGAAAGTCTGTCTTCAAACCAAACAGAACCTGCTTGCAAAGTCAGCAAAAGGGGTGCTTTTATGGCATTAGAAAAAATTCTTCCTCCAGTGCCCCTGCTTTCTTGTGGGCTTCCTTCCTCCCACCAACTTCTCTAGAACCTAAGAAGCAAATGGGAAGAGAAGCATGCAAGAAGAATGAAAGGAACATGATGTATGACATTTCTGCCAAAGACCTCTAACCAGTAATGATAGGGTGGCTAGAAGGGAGACAGGGATTGCTGTAACCACAGCTTTCTTACTGGCTTAGAAGGCATAACCCCACCAAGAAGATAGTATAACATCCAAACCACCCAACATCCCTGCCAGTAGGGCCTAGAAAAGCAATCCCTGTCCCAGTGTCACAACCTGGGCCTTGTTTCGCTACTGGGAGAACAATGCTTTGATTTGGGATTGAATCCTTCACATCTCCAAGCAAGGAAATGGTAGATATGACCTGATATGGGCTGCAGAAGTAGATAGAAGCCTCTATAATTGTCTGCTAATACAATGAGCTTCCAGATCTATGATACATGCACAAATATACACATCCACACTCATATATCTCTCTGTGACATGAAGGACCCATCTGCTACTCAAATCCTATTCTGAACTCAACCTATACAAAACTAAAATACTGTTTCTAAGGGCCAAGGATTTAACTCAGTGGTTCTGTTGCCTGCCTTACAAGCACAAGGTCCTGAGTTCAATGCCTGGTACCAAAAAAACAAAAACCAAATGAAATACTGTTTCTACATTGACTTAACATTTTATTAATTGCTTATCTTCTTAAGAGTTTAAAAGGCTTAAGAACAGATGTTTTGGAGGTTGACTAAATTTCTTAATGTATTTTTTAAAGACAAGTTAAAAATCAATGTTTACCCTTCCTCAGTACATTTCTCTCTCTCTCTCTTTTTTTGTTTGTTTGTTTTTGGTACCGGGGATTGAACTTGGGACCTTGTGCTTGCGCAGCAGGCACCGGAACCACTGAGCTAAATCCCTGGCCCAGTACATTTCTCTTTAAACAACATAAGCATGTAACAAGTTGTCTGTGTCCCAAAGCTCACAGAGGGGAGAGGCCAGGCACCTGGACAGACTGTGCAGTATCCACAGGACCTGCACACAGCACGGGGAGCACTGAGGGGGCTCAGAGTGTCTGGTGCTGCTCTGAAAAGAAACTGTCTCTGACATTTTCAGTGGGGAGCACATAGCTGCCTCCCCCGGGGCCTTTGTCTTCCTTAGGGCTCCTCATCCAAATAAATGCCCTGATAAATATGTCTGTTGATTTTTATTTTTTATTCGCGAGATTAGCTTTTTCTTTTCTTTTTAACTTAGCCATGTCATCTGTCCTTAGGTGCCTCTAATAGGCCCCGACAAGCCTCCAGTTAAATAAACAAACCATTAGGCTTAGGAACTATGGCAAAATGAACACAATTAGCAGATTATTAATAAATCTAGTCACTTAAGAATTCTAACCCTGACAAAGTCACCCCAGGGGAAAATAGATTTAAAGTATTCTAGCCCAAGGAAGCCCCCTCCCAGTGACTCAGTCCAAATACAGTGAATTATTTAAGATGGCTCAGATCTTCCTGGGCTCTGCAGGAATTTGGAGTCATCATCTGAGAGGCTCTGTCCCCCAGGAGGGAACACTCATTGTTTCCTTAGTTCTGGGGATCTTTTCTTCCCTGGCTTGAGGTAGGACAGAATGTGTATTTGTTGAGAGACTCTTTAAGAGCTAGTTGGCAGGGCAGGAAGTTGAGGGACCAGCTGCCTGCCTACAGGGGACACTCGGCCAAGTTCAGCCATCCTCTCAGTCAGTCCTGAACACACAGTCACAGCAGGTCCCGCTCCACATACAGTAGCAAGGAAGACATGGACCTTCCTGCAGTTAGATTACAGCAATGAAGCAATCAATTAGAATCAAATTCCTAAATAAAATGCCCTTTTCTGATCCCTAGAGCCCTGCATGATCACCCTTCCCTGCCACACTGGCCATCTTGCTGTTCCTGGAATCAGCCAGCCTTGTTCCTGCCTCAGGGCCTTTGCACTTGCTGTACCTCTTACCTAGAACACTTTCTCCCAGCTCTTCAGTCTCTGTGGCTTCCTTCATCAAACAACTAAGACTATGTCCCTTATGCCCCTCTCTGTTCTCATGTCATGTTCATCTTCTCAGTAGCACTTTCAGCATCTGCAGCTAAAGCAGGTACCAGCTGCTGCCTGGTCTAGGAGCTCTAATGCCTGTGTACTGCGGTTTCCCCAGAACAATGCCTGGTACAAATAAATACAGGTGCTCAACAAATATCTATTGGTAGTAAATGCAATAAGGGAAGTCCAGGGTGTTAGCAGAACTCATTCTGAGGTGATAAAGGAAGGTGTCCCAGAGAAAGGAACATTGTGAGAGTCAGCTGGACAGAGAAACAGATAGAGGAGACAGGGCTGGTATTCTGGATAACTACAAAAGCTTGAGAAAAGGCTAAAGGGGTGAGGAGTCCCCGTGTCTGCTGAACAGTTGGATTCAGTCTCCAGCAGAACTGTCGCTAGAGACAGATCTTCGGTAGGACAGACCACAGTGCAATGCATTGCTGAATGTCGCCATCTTGTGGTCAGAGCCTTGAACTTCAGCACAGGAGTCTGACTAGGTCAATGACCGATCTTCCTTCCTGGATTTGCTCTTCTTGCTGAATAAACAGACAGTGCTATAGCAAGTTGATCCTTGGGTAAGAGCACGCCCCAGTATATTTTATCCTGTGTAAAAGTTGGGCAGTCATCATTGTAACAGCACATACCAGCTGAGCGCTTCCTCATTTTGGGAACACTGCATTTTCATTCATTCATTTAATCCTCACATTACTGTGAGGGCTCTCCACATCCTCCCCTCACAGAAAAGGAGGTGAGGCCTGGGAGTCACTTCTGGTGGCCAGGCTCATAAGTGGTCGGCAGGACTCACACTAAGCAGTGCCTCCACCTTCAGGTTCCCTGCCAGGGCAGGTGCCATGCTAAGCAGCAGCTGGAGGGCAGTAGGGGACAATATCCCCATCAGCCCCCAGGACCTGGAGCAAGAAAAACAGCCAAGACAGCAAGAAAAACTCCACAGCTGAGGATAGTGTGGGACAGACACAAGCCTGCCAAGGGCCTGGGCACAGTGCCAGGGGTGTTCCTGTGCCAGGCTCCCCTGCCAACCCCAGGCACAAGCAGCCCACATGCCGCTGGGCCTGAGTGCAGCTGTGTCTCCCAGCCCTGTTCACCATTTATGGTATCTGAGCCTGTCTGGCCTTGGCAGGCCATAAATCCCTCACACAAAGAGGGTGCTCATGCACGCACGCAGCCTGCTAAGAGCAAACCCCGAGTCTGGCAGGGTTCTTGTCAGGGCCTCTCTCCTGCTGCTTTCCGACACACCTGCATGGGCGATCAGTCACCCCAGGACTCAGGAGAACAGCCCCAAAGAAGTCTCAATCACTCATTCAGGTACCTCAGCAGCAGCATGATTGGCTCAGCTGGGTCTGTCTAATCCAATCTAAGCAAAGACAACTCAGGGCAGGTGCTGCATTAGCTGCAGTCCGGCCAGGTGGAAGTTGGCAAGGAAGCATCAGAAAGAAGGCAGAGCTGCACAGCCTGGCCGGCCATGTGCCATTTGGATCCTGACTTGGGAGTGGAAGGGGTACTTCAGAGAAGAGCCCCCTGCTGGGAAAGGGAGGGGAGAGTTGCTCCCTTGGCCCAAGGAGACTAGGCTCTGAGCTATTCTTGCTTCCTCAGAAGTCCTGCAGCACAGTCTCCCGAGGCCTCCAAGTCATGGAATTAGAACTGAGGATAAATGGGATAAGTGTGCACACAAGAACCCTGGCCAAGGAACTCCCAGGGGCCAGTGTGGCTCTGGCTGGAGCATGGGGGGCTTCCTGGAAGGAAAGGGCAGCCTGGTTCACTGAGGACTCCTTGCCAGCACCTCTTCAGAGAAATGTGGGTCTACTCCCACCAGGGAGCCTCAGGGAACCAGTGTGGGCCACGTTCTCCATTGGTGCCAGTTCCTCTGTCTCTAAGGGATGGACGGGGCCCAGCCCACAGTGGTCAGCTCTCACTGTGGGCCAAGGGAGATGCACTCTGAAAAGGGGCAGCCACGGTATGAGCCTGGGTGTCACCATCCCAGGCCTGGGCTCAAAAGGCCCACTTTGCCGTCAGTGTGGTATGCGTGGCTGGCTGACACTGGCTTCATGATATCTTTAGATCTTTCTGTGTAAAATGAGGACAGCACTCCCATACTGAACTGTGGAGGGCCCTGGAAGGTGACTCAGGAGAGGCCAAACAGTGGGCTGTGCCCCTTCTCCTTTCTGGGAAGCCATCTCCTGCAGCTCCTGGAAGCTGGCTGGTCCTACTGTAGGGCCTCTCTCCCAAGGCCTGAAGTTGGGGGGGCAAAGTCAGAGAAGGTGTGGTCTCCTGCTAGCCCAATGGGAAAGCAGACACACTGCACCCAGACATACTCAGGCACTGGGGGCCCAGACCCAAGGAGAAGGTGAGAATCAGGTTTACCTGAAGGCCCAGACCCAAGAAGCACCTCCCCGGGTACTACTGCGGTGCCTGCCAATCCCACAGCCCAGGTGGATCAGCCTAGAGTCTGTGGCTCCTGTGACTCCTAGGGACTAAGTGCTTGGCTGATCAATGGGTGCCTGTGATAATCAGATTACTGGGCACCAGGCTGGTGATGGAGAAAAGTGAGAGGGGCATGGTGGGAGGAGCACAGGCAGAAGAAGGGGATAACCTGCTCACCCTACAGAAGCCTCAGCACCCACACTCTGTTCCCAGTGCAGAGCTGGTCATTTGTGGGACCCCCTCCTAAGTCTTCTTGCAGAGTGGGTGGTTCTCTTCCAAACAGGCCAGGAGCTTGGGGGCCAGGGTCCCTCGCCTTTTTCCCCTGCATTTCCCATGGCCCTGGCAGGGTAAAGGGTGGGGGACTGGCTCCTTCTGTGGCAGGCTCTTGTCAGTGTGAACTCCTGTCAGGCACAGGCTTTCCAAGGCACCTCTCCTCTGCCCTCAGGAGGTTCCTACAGCCTCTCCTCTGAGGTAGCAGTGCCTATCAGCAATGGCCTGGAGCAGTGCCATATGTACCTCTGCTCCCTGGATTTCAGCTAGTCGCACTCTTTTCTACAAGTGTCCTTTCTCCAGAGCAGCTGACCCTGTTTGCAGAGAAGGTGCTTTTAGTAAGGTGCCTGGAGGCTCTTACCATGGACGGTGACCCTGGCGCTGCAGGACACTTGCCCCAAGGCGTTCTCAGCCAGACAGGTATAGACACCATCATCCTCTGGCAGGGTGTCCTGGATGCGGAGCTCAGCCACGCCAGCCTGGCAGGTGGAGTGCGCATACTGGATGGGCTGCCCTGGGAGGGAAGCACAGGGAGGCTGAGATGGGGAGCATGTGGGATGGGACAGGAGCCCTGTTCTCAGCAGGGCTGATGCTGGCATGATGCTAGAGCTGGCCCATGTCCACAGGGGCAAGACTGGGCCTGGAAACACAGAGGGAAAAGATTCTGGAGGATTCTGGAAGGCAGGCGGGAAAGAGACACAGATCTGGGCAATTTGTGTTAAGTAAATAGTCTCCAGTCCGTGTCCTCAATTTCACAGAATTCAGTGCCTGGAAAGAATCTTACAGGGTCATTTGGCCCATGGCCCAGGCTCCAGCGGAGCAGACTTTGCCCAGACTGAACATGTGGCTCCCAGCTCCTTTTAGATGTCTCCAGAAACAAAGATTCCCTTTCCCATTGTAGATATTTATCAGAAAGCAATTGTGCATGCCCACCCTAGTGTTGCAATTAGGTTTATTTCCCCTGTGCAGTTAGGTGCATCTTAGCATTCATGGAAAAACTAACTATGGGGAACTAAAAATGACCAGTCTTCTATGAGAAGTCCTTGATTTTTAATTAAAGTCCTGCGTAGAGACAGAAATGCTTACAGGGTACTTTAGTAGTTTCCTTAATGTTATATGTTCCTGAGATTTTATCACTCCAGGATATGACCTCTTATTTCTAGAAGAAAAAAATGATCTCATTCCTGAAGACTCTGGCGTTAGAGCAGGAATGTGTCCATTTGCCATATAGGAAGCAACTGTCAGTCCCTTCCCTTGCCAGGCCCTGTGATCCTGGTTTGCACTTCTTAAAAGCAGGGGTGGGTGGTGGGGAGGGAGACAGTACTGAAAGAAATGCTCTCCCTGCAATGCAGTGTTTTCTTCTGCACATAGCAACACTTCTCGTCTCCGCAACAGTTTGGCAAGGAGGCAGCCAGGCATGCCCCAGGGATGGAGGGAAGATGGACTTCCCAACCTGCCACACTCCATAAAATGAAACTGGGTGGGAAAAGGCAGGGGCCGGGATCCTGTCACTGAAGGGCCTGAATACTGCTCTGTGCTTTTATTCTTTGTGACAGTGACACCCCCAAAACCTCTTCCTTGAAATCACCAGCACATTCCCTGACTGTCAGCAATGAGCCTCTGCTGTCCAGACAGGCACCAGCAAGCTCTGTGAGAGCTCTCCAGTTATTGGAGTGCAACTCATTTCAGCCCCACAAACAGGGATGGAATGGAGGCCCCCAAGAAGGAGCTGTGGGCTCAGGGCACGTCAGAGTTGGGAGTTTTGAAACACCTTCTGCATGGAGACTGGGTTGGGCCAGAGTTGAAGCCAAGAAAATCCAATTTGAGCATGATTGCCCTCTAGAGGGAAGGGTGCAGAAATACCAAGCTCTACCAAGAATTCAGCCCTGAGGGGTGTAAAACTAAACCACAGCCCTTGAGCTGAATCTGACCTGTGGCCTGTTTCTGCAGAGCCTACCAGCTAAGAATAATTTTTATACGTTTTAAACAGCTGAAAAAAGTGAAAGGAAGAAAATTTCATGAATTCACATTACAGAATTCACATTTCAGTGATCATAAATAAAGCTTTATTACCACACAGCCACACTCATTCAAATACTGTCTATGCTGTTTTTAGGCTGACAGTAGAGTTGAGGAGTAATCACAGAGATTTAGGGACCAGAGAAGCTGAAGAGATTTACTATCTGGCCCTTCAGAGGAATGGATATTAACCCTTGCTCTAGCCCAGTGATGCTGAACCTTTTAGAGCTTTCAGGGATAACAAACAGCCCACTGCAGCATATGTGCCATAGATTCACCACCACTGCTCTAGACTCTGAGCCAGGCAGGGAAGCCCTGAGTCAGAAGGGAAACTCTTCTTCAGGTCCACAATTAGTCCTGGTGTCCATATCCTGCTCTTGCTGCAAGGAGGAGGAGGCGGCGGCTGCATCTTTCAGTAATCCCAGGCCCCACAGGAGTTTGGTCCTTATGTGAGGTATGGAGGGAAGACAGACCTCACTTATCTACCCAAGATGGCTACACAGTAAGAGTACGCAGCATCTCCTCCCATTCAAAGCCTGAGCAGACTATATCAACATGGAGGGTTCATGGGCAACATGTCATGATGCAGAGGCACCTGGGGAGCTGTGGCACACAAGTTATTCCTGCTCTGCCTGAGGAGCCTATTTTATCAACCGGAGAGCTGACTGAGATTCTGAACCTTCTCTTTCCCATTCCCCACCATAAAGAAGCAAGTACCAAAGAGACAAAGGGGGTGCCCTAGGCCCCATGTCTACAGCTCAGTGGTGGAGAAGGACCATCATCTAGGCCTCCTGACTCCAAGTGGATGCTTTTCCATCCTCCCCGTGGTCCCGCAATACAGGCCCTGCCCAGTCTTGTCCATTGAATGGACTGTTCTGTTATCAAATCAGAACTGTCCTACACTTTTGAAATTGAAAGGCTTTTTTAAAAAGAGAAGGGTGATAATATTTGGTAATTAATTTTTTTCAAAGGACCTTACTTGGCTAAAAACCAAAGAAGTGTTGCCATGTCTTTATAGGGTTATAATTAACATAAAAAAGAATTACTAGTCTGTGAACCCCAGAATCACCTGCCATTAAATAAAAGGCAAGATTCCTTGAACAACTCCTGGTATGGCTCATTAGTTTGTTCAACAAATATTTATTGAGGGCCTGTTATGAGTCTGACCAGAGGAACAGACATTAAATTGTTCATGTATCTATACCTCAGGCATCTTGTTGACCACTTTATATCATTTGATCTCACAGCCACCACCCTGCAAGGTCAGTGGCAGTACTGCCACCATGCAGATGAAGAATACAAGGCTCTGGCAGGTTGCAAACATGCTTAGCCAGTTGGCAGCAGATTTGATTCCTGTGTTTTCTCCTAACTCCTAACACAGCTTTCTCCAGCTCCTAACAGTATACCCTGGATTTCTGAGGTATACATGGTTGGGAGTGAGATGTGAGAATCAAAGGCTTTAGGGGCTGGGGTGAGGTGGGGGACTCACCATTGAGTAGCCAAATGATTTGGGGCACTGGGGTCCCCTGCACAGAGCACTGCAGCACAAAATCCTGGCCCTCGATGACGGTGCAGTCCTTCAGGACACTGGAGAAGGAGGGAACCACCTCCATCTCGACTGGCTCTGTGTGGATGAAAGAACAGACAACCATGTCAGATCACAGCCTGCCCAATCTGGATACAGACCAGAATCACCTCAGGCCTCACAGGCTGACACCATGCTGCTCTGAGCACCAGGGTTCCTCCACAGCCTGGCTATGCCTTTCTTACCTTCATGCTTAGGAAGTACCAGTCTCAGGCACCTGGATCCCAGGGCAGAGGGCCTGGCAAGGGCCTCTCACAGCCACAAGCCACCCTAGCTCTGGAGCAGCCTTTTCTCCACTGTGGCTGGGGCACCTCCTGTCTGCTCGTGGCATTTGCTATCCTGAGGCATCCTGAGTCTTCCCCCTTCCCTCCTGCTTGGTCTGACTCTACTTTCTAGTATTTCTTCTCTTCTTCTGCATGTACTACCAGTGATCACACAGTCTTATTAATACATTTTTACTTGTAAACACCACAGAACCATAGTGAGGATATTTCAATTTTAAATTATTTTGATTATTTTTTTCCAGTTGCAGTGCTGAATGAAATGACAAAGATTCACATGTGTTTGCTTTTCCAAGTGTAATTTGTGCCCCAACCCAGGTCAAGGGTGCAGAATGGCTGGGGCCTGGGAACATACATGGATATCCACGCACATCAGAGATCTGCCAAGCTTACTTTCCAAAAGCCTTCTACACTTTTGGGGGATTTTAATATAAACCATAGGTACTTTGCAAGAAAGACTACTCAGTACAGAGATGAGAGAAAAGCATACTGATCCTTCTAAACCTCTGAGTCAAAATAGATCTTTCCTCCTTTTAAGTTGATGTTCGCAGGTATTTTTTTTTTTAACAATGATGGAAGGCTAGCTAACACATTTAGACTTTATAGAAAGGAAGAAAACAATTGCAAGTCACATGTCTGCTAAAGGACTTGTATTCACAACATATTCTGAACTCTTAAAACTCAACAATTAAAAACAATGACTCAATTTTTAAAATGGGCAAAGTATTTGAATAGGTTTTTTTCCCAAAGAAAAACCACAAATCACCAATAAGTACATGAAATAATACTCAACATAGCTGCATAGAAATGCAAATTCAAAATTGCAAAGAGATGATTTAAAAAACAGAAAATAATAAATGTTGATGAGGATGTGGAGATACTGGAACACTTGTACATTACCAGGAGAATATAAAATGGTGCAGCCCTTATGGAAAACAGTTGGCCAGTTCCTCAAAAGGTTAAATGTAGTATTGTCACATGACCCAACAATTCATAGTATATGCCCTCAAAACTGACAATAGTGCATTAGCTGCTTTCCTTGTCAGGGGACACAATACGACACCCACAATTTAAAAGAGGAGAGGTTTAGTTTGGCTCACGTTTCAGAAGTTTCAGTCAATGTTTAGCAGGCTCAAACACAGAAACTGGAAAACAGAAGGGCCTATGTGGAGGAAAGCTGCTCACATCATGGTGGCCGGGAAGCAGGGAGAGAAGGGAGGAGCCTGGGAGCACATACATCCTTCTGGGTCAAGCTCCAGTGACCTGGTTCCCCCGACCAGGCCCTAGCTCCTAACAGCAAGTCAGCTATTGTGCTCCCATGATTAAAAGAATCATACCACAGTGATATATGTGTGCCCATGTTCAAAGAGGCACAGTTTGCTATAGCTAAAACTTGGAAACAGCCCAAGTGCCCATCAACTGGAGACTGGATAAAGAAAATGTGGGTTTTTTATAAAATGGAGTACTACTCAGCCATAAAGAATGAGAAATTAGAGACATTTATAGCTAAATGGATGCACATTGAGGCCATACTC